AGATTTTGTAAACTGTGTCATATAAAGGACTAATTTTTCTATATAAGGCGCTCGATCCTAGTGTTAAAGTAGTATAGATGCTCTACAAAAGTAACTTAAAATGTCTAACAACGGTTCATTCTTAATTGAAATGACTTTTTATAATTAAAGGAATAATAATGATGTCAGTTTGAAAATGACATATTCTATCAATTTTGAAAAGTGATATCAGTTTGGAAAACGATTTTTCTATTTGAAAAAAATGAGCTTTTGTTGCTCAATTCTCTTATTTTCAGTGCTCATTTGACACATAGTTAATTTGGTGCTCAAAAGTCTTATTTTTAATGCTCAAAGTAAATACTGTCCAAACTAATGTATCTATCGTCATGCCGTATCGTCTCATACAGCAGCTGTAAACAATTACATTTTATTTATTTTGGACAACTGCTTCGAAACTAAGAATATTGATATAAAAACATCTGCTTTCTTTTAGAAAAATTAATATGAAATAAAATCTAACATGTAGAAAATTGTTTTGTAATCTTTACTCCTAGAATTGTAATACTCATTTGGAATCCCTTCCTATTAAATCTTCGATGTTTATTATTCTATGAGCTAGTTTCGTATATATTCAAAAGTTGTCTTAACCATTCATCATCACACAAAAGATGCTTCCGATTAAAACAATCATTCTATCTATTATCATTTTGAATATTTCAATTTTCCACGTTCATTCAGAACGTAGAAATGTTCCACTAGAACAACGATGGATGAAATCATCTCAAACATCGCCGTCAAATGAATTGATCACACTTTCTCTAGTATCTAAACAAAATCAAAATTCAGTAAAGACATTAGAATCATTATTTTGGAAAATTACCGATCCTGACAGTGATCAATATCAGCAATGGCTCACACGTAAAGAGATTGATAAAATTTTAAAACCACATTCAAAATGTTACTCATTAATTCAAAAGTGGTGTAAGAAACAACCGTTTAAAAAAGTAAATAAGATTGGTACGGATGTATTTAAAATTACGACAACAGTCAAACACGCATCAGAATTATTTTCAACAAAATTCTATCCGTACACTCATGTACAAAATAAAAAACGTATTATTCATCGAATTCATGGACAATATCAAATTCCAGATGAAATCTATTCATGTGTCGATTTAACTGTTGGCTTGGATACGTTTCCCCTTGAAAAAAATATTTTCGGCAGACAACAAAAATTTACCGATGGCAATGTTGATAGTTCTCAACAACAGCTACAACAAACGGACATTATCACACCACAGTTTCTAATTGATTACTATAAAATACCAAATGTGAAAAAAACGGGTCTACCACGAAATGACGTATCACAAGGCTCCATTCAGTTCCTAGGACAATATTATGATGAAAAAGATTTACAAAAATATTCACAGGCGGTAAATATTC